AACATGGAGACATTTTACTTTTCGGAACACGTCCGAATGGCGAAATGTCTCCTCTCCGTTCAACGCGGAACAGAGAATGCTGTCGACATCCGCTATTCCTGAAGGCGATCACGTGAAGAAAGAACCCCTTCCGCGATCGATGGAAGAGAGTTCCTCTCCCCGCTCAAAGGGGGAAAAGGCCATCTCTTCATCGATTGCGGAAGGAGAACGCCCTTCACACTTCTTCATCTTCTTGGGCCGCAACCACCGCCAAAACCGCCAGCTCTTCATTCTGTAAAGAAACAAGAAAATATATAAATATAAATATTAATGGCATTCGGATATACCTAACGCAGGAAAAGTTCAAGATTATACTCACGACAGAGCTGGCGTTAGATCCTATCGGAAATTGCTAGAACGTTCGAACTTTATTTGTAGTAGCGACGACAAAAGATACGGACCGACCCGGAACGAAGAAACTCTCTTGCGTGTAATTTGTATTTGTAAGACAGAAAAGTAAAGCTACGCCGCACGCGGAAAAGGCATTCGTATTCGATCGCGAGCCCAAGTCGTGACAAGTGTTTCGTACTACAGCAATTTATCCTAACGTGCGTACGAGCGGTCCGTCACCTAAACGCAACGACAGCACTTAAAAGAGTTTCGTGCAAAGAAATTTCGTACGAGAGTCGACGAAAACACAACACGTGTCCGCTGCCGGGACACGAACGTTTAAGTGGCACAAAGCATTTGCAGAGGGTTACGTAAGTGCGGAAGATGGACTGCACTCAGAAATGACGACATTGTGAAAAGAGACAAACAGCTTAAGAATTCTTTGTGTCCAGCCTGTATAGATAACTGTTAAGTGTATTAGATGTGTTTTAGCTGCAGACAATTTAATTGCCGCAAAGCCGTTGAAAACCGTTGTAACTAATACATAGAATTCAATGGAGAAGTCGGAGGTCAAAGGGCGAAATTTTTGACGTCCAGTTTGTGTCGAAGGAACATCTCATGCTTCAGAATACGGTCTCCGTTTAACCTTCGGCCCATCCGGTTTCGAGTGTATATTTTAGTTAAAATTACGATACGCTTTGCGATGAAATTCGTAGAGTTAGTATTAAATACGTTTTAATTGAATTTCTTTAAATAAGATCCTCATTCTTTGACCGTGTTTATAAAATATAATCTAAATTAATTAATTACGAAAATAAACCAATGAGCAAATAGTTAATCCTAAAAGTCGTTTCGGATGGTAATTCAAACGAAAAACACAAGCGACCGCAGATTTAAACGCAAATATGCAAAGTCCGAGTCGGCCGATGTCGTCTCCGAAAGTTACACTAAACGAAACGAAGATAAAATCTTAACGCTAGCAAAATTCTAATTAAAATCTTACTTGGTGTAACGTCGGCGTCCAAAAGTCTTCTTAAAACCACGTTCCGGTAGCAAAAAACACTGAAAAAGGCAGAAAACACAGCAAAAACCAGAGCGAAGAGCGCACACGTCCGTTTGGCAAGCGAAAAACGCGCAAAGTGACGCAAAATCGTGTTGCAACAATAGGCGTTTCTATAGAGATTAGAAAGCGCGTAGCGAATTCGAATGCGATTGACGTAATGGATTCTTTTTGAATTTTAAGGCCAAATATCTGCATTTTTTACGTTTCTATCCCCCGAGTGACGACGGATTGGGATCGAGAGACTCCCTACCACCCTCCGCCTTCGGTTTCCATTCTCCACGAGGGGTTTTAAGCGAGATTTTCTATAATCGAATGTCATCTTTACCTCGCCACCCCCCAAAACTAGAAGAAATCCTTCGTCTCGTCCGTCGAGTATTTTCCGACGAATTTTCCGATTGACCGACACCAGCAATTTTTACTAAATTTCGTAATATTTCGTTAATTTGAGGAAATTTAACATGTCATTTGTGGTCCGGATAGTTTCGTTTCGGTGCCCACTGTACGGTTTTATAAATGAAAATTTAGTTGTAAGTTCGCCTCTTAATGTTCGTGGCGATGAAGTCATCTCGAATTTTTTTTCGAATGGTAGCCGGCATTTCATTTTTTCATGATTATTTTGAATTCTCTGTCGTGAAGACAAACAATTTTAAGGTTACATTTTATAAGTAGGACTTTTTTTTTAACTTTAAAATATACGTTTCTTCAGGAAGAGTCATAGATTTTTCCATCACGATACTATCGATAGTACGGGCGCCGCCATCTTTTTCTTTCATCGTTGTTCTCAATTGCCTACAAACAGCAAGACATGCACTTGATGACGGAGACGCGGAGCAATCGGTATTAAGTAACGCGTCCAATATCCTTTATGCTACTACTAGGGAGATTTTAACTGTCATACAAAATGGCTTTCCAGACCAGTATTCCAGCAATGACAGCAGGGTGCTCTTCAAGACTAAAGGCGGGATCACCAATTGTTCTCTATACTTCGTCATCTGTTCCCAAACAGAATTAGGATTCATCACAAAAGAAAATACTGTACAGTATTGTTTGATGTCAGTCTGTAGCAGTCAGTGGCGGCCTTAGGGAGTGGCGAGCAGGGCAATCGCCCGGGGCCTCGCTCTTGGAGGGGCCTCGCGCAACAACCAAGTAGAAAAAAGTTGATATTTAAAACTTTTTATTTTATCCTTGGCTATTAGTTATAACAATAAAATAAATTTAATTTATAGTACAGTATATATTAATATTAATAAGTGCCTACTATTTCAATTCACATACTTTGCACAAAGGACAAGGGCCTCGCAAAGATCTGCCGCTCAGAGCCTCGCAATGGATAAGGCTGCCCCTGGTAGCAGTCTATGCTTTTCTGTCAAGGCACCAGTGCAAACAGAGTCGGTGTTATTGAGATGCCGATGAGAGGAGGCATAACAGTCACTGTGCATGCGAATTTGTTTTTCAAATATTCCCACAAAAAATCACGACGACGACGACAAATCATGCGATCTTGCAGGCCAAAAAATATCGCCATTCTTGAAGATGACACTAACGGAAAACAACTGTCTTAGCAATTGTGGATATTCTGGCTGTATTAGCTGTCGCCGAATCTCATTAGAATTGTGTGTGATCATTAACAAGAGGAAATTTGGCTAATTCTTGAGTAAAAAACGTCAAGCTGCAAGGCGTTAAGCAAAGAATCGTGGACTACGTCAATCAACATTTTCTGGGGTACATACAGTTCTTGTTGCATCTGGAGGCTTATTTTTTAGTGCAGAATCAGTTTCCTCAAAGAAATAGATTCTGCACTAAAATATTCTTAAAAAGTTGTTAATCCATGTCATAATGACATGTCTATACGGCACTGGATTATTGCAATGGATGTTGAACCGGCGGCGAAATAACTGTGAAGTGGACACGATACAATCACCATTTTTATATGCCTGAATTGTGAAGACACTGCGCACTTGTCCATTGGTTTATGATTATTCTTGACAACACAACATCGGTGAGCAAGCCCACCCTGTACTTTTTTCGAGATCAGAAACTCCTCTGACATTTTCGAGTAAATAAAAAACCTTTTAGATCTGTCCTTTTAGATCTGGGCGATGAGAAGCAGGAATTTACAAACGTTTTTACGTCTCGTAGAGAAACACGTCGGCAAGATGCGACAGTTTTTATCAAGTTTTTCTCGAAGAATTTCCAATTCGTTTCATATTGTTAACTTTAGTTTTGAATAAGAAACTATACGCAATAAACTCATACTTCGTGCCAACTAATAATGGGATAAAACATAATAGAGAATGTTATCACCAAGAACACGAAAGATCGTTTTTAATTTCGGGGATCATATATACATGAACAGTTTAAGGGATTTCGCGAAAGTACATCATTGGTACGATTAAGAGGAAGAGGGGGCATGCCAATACACACTTAGAAAACACTAGTGTGAGGACCCAAACGGGGTCCGAAAGCAGGCCATTAACGACTTTTTAAATGAGTCAAGTTTCGTAGTGCGAAAGAGCGAACTTAAAGATCGGATTTAAACAATGAACCTTTTGTCTTGTTAAAAGATTGTAAACAATAGATAGAGTAAAGTCGAGGAAAACGAGGTTGGAGAGGAGTCGTGTTCCGACGCGACGTTGACCTCTCCCGCGCCCTTCCTGGGGTTTCGAATTGTCACCATGCGACGAGGAGAGACCAATGGAGAGGCGACCGCGGGGGAAAAATCGATAAAACCGCGTTTTCGGGAACTTTACGGGGTCTTGGGTTTTGGTGGGTAGTGCTCACCTGTCGGGATTTGGTGCTCCCGACCGAGACGCAACGAAGGCTCTTCCGACGACCTAGGAACTGGTTTTGCCAACCCGTCCACTCTAGGATCGCCGAGGTTCGACTTGTCAACTGAGGACATCACTACAAGTGTTGGTGCGTGCCCCGGAGCCATCGTTCTCTGCGTCCACAGTGCCGAAAGCTCCCCAGGGACCAATCGAACATTCGAACTATCCGATTAGTAGGAACTGCGACAGAAACCTATCGTGGGATAAGCTCTTGCCCGCATTAGATTGTTGTAAGAACGATTTATGTATATTATTAAACGGTTTTTTTTATGGAAAACCTGTCTCGGTGAGTCATTCCGCGCCCACACGACAGAATTAACCGCTCGGCTGTCGAAAACACCTCCCCCCTAATCGGCTGGCCTCACACTAGTATTTGCAAAAACTTTTAAAAAGTTTTTTCATTGTCAGGAAATCCATGAACTATTGTACGTAATGAAAGGGAAGGTTTCACAAAAAATATACAAGGTGTGAAAAACGGCTAAAAAATGTAAACGCAATTTATAGATTGCGTCAAGTTGATCTATCTTTCGTTCCCCGTGTTTCAACGTAAATCATCTTCGATTACATGGATAAGTGATACGAAGTTGATGTAAAGGGGAAACCTGACCAATTAATTCAATCTATTTCCGATAAATTAACAATTATATACAAAATAATTTTTAAATAAAATTTGTTTTATAACGTCTCATAATTTTAAAATTCTTATATAAACTGGTCATTTTAATTGGCAAACCGTTTAGAAGTGCCCTCTGACGACGAAAGCAAAAAACTCGACACATGCTTCAGTATACGAGATGCAGTTAAGGATCGACGTATTGAAATTTCTTAGGTGTATCCGAAGTCGAATTCGATTGTTTTGTGTTTCTTCTGAATGTGATGAAATAAAACACGACGAGTCGAAGAAACGTCACGTCTCTCATCTTTTGTGTTCCGGAAGAGATGCTTCTGGTATTTATTTAGCTGTTTCACCTAATTTAAATCCAAATCATATTATAGAAAATAGCAATGAGGTTGTGCAACTCATTAAAAGTAGAGGCATTTTCATAGATATACAAGTATTAGCCGAAAGACTCAAAATCATTAAAAAATTACAGGTAAAAATCAAAAACTTTAAGGAAAGCGAAAGCGAAATTGGAAACGAACTGAATAAACTCTCAGATGTGGAGAAATCTTCATTGCAGGGGTCTGAATTAATAAAGAAACAAACGGAATTAAGAATTAAATCGAAAATGTTAACAAAACGACTATGGGATTTAGAAGATGCTGCATTCCCAGATTTATTAAAAATTCCAAATACTTTACATCCGGATGTAACTTCAGAAAATAAGGTTATAAATCAATGTGGTCGTCCTAATGAATTTCAATTTACCGTTAAGGCTCATACCGAATTGGGTAAATTGAATAGATGCTTGAAATTTACGCCGTTTCATTCGTATTATCTCCTAAACAAAGCAGCAAAACTCGAATTTGCTTTAACTAATTATTTTACTGATCGTCTGACTGAGGCTGGATTTGTTAACGTTATTGGACCCGACTTTTGTAAACAAGTCACTTTAGAAGGATGTGGTGAGATGCCCGAAGATATTTGTCGGATGATAACTGTAGAAAAAGAAGGGCAGTCATACTATGTTACGGGAAATGCTTCGTTACCATCATTTATTGCACCGTTAGCCAGAACTCTCACGAACAAATCGTCCTTACCTCTCTGCTATTTTAATATTGGTCGATATTACAAATCCCCCAATAGCAGAACGGATGATACGCTTTTTACCGTTTGTCAGGATGTTATTGTTAAAACCCTTATATCTACTTTACCTTCGGAATTCACAAATCAGTTTAGTCGGCTCTGTGAAATAATAGAACGGTGTTATAGAGAAATCGGCATTCCGTTCCAAACTGTACAAGTATCTTCTTGTAGATTGGAACGAGCAGAAAATTTAAGAAGAGAATATGAACTGTGGTCTGCACATAAAAATGAATTTGTAACTGTTGGACATATATCAATTTGTACAGACTATATAAGTAAAAGACTAATGATAAAATACGGAAAGGGTAAAATATCAGAAAATTATGTGTATATCATTGAATCCACAATAGCATCACTTCCTACATTGATTGGTTGCATTATGGAAAATATGCAAACAATAGATGGGACATTTTCAATTCCAGATGTTCTTATACCTTATTTTTAATAATATAGTATAAAATTACAAACAATAAACTGTAAATATGCCAATATATCCTGTTTTTATAGAACTTATAATTAAGCAATTATAATAAAATTTAAATGTTACATAGTCTTATTTTGTTATATTCATATACTAATTTTCTTAACAGCAAACTTTCCTTTTCAGAAAACTGAAAATAAAGGAATAATTTCTTTAAAATATAAAAAAAATTATTCAAAGAAATATAATAGATTAAAGTAAAAATTTATTCTATTACTTTACCAGCAAAGTTTTTCACATATTATATAATAATAAAATTTTTTAAATTACTATAAAAATTGATTCATTTTAGTATATTGAATATTATTATAGTCCACCCAGTACAAGTAACTGTATTTTCTGTAAAGTTCATAAATTCAATAGCTATATTATCAATATTGGGCTTATTCAGGGCACCAGTTATGCAATGGGTTTAAGTTATATGTCAATTTTAAATTCCAATCAAGAGTTAAAACAAAAGAATATTAACAGTTCAAATAAATATTGAAATCATTGATGCAAGACAAAATTAAAATATTAAAACAAGCAGAACCCATGATGAAAAGATGCTTAAAAAGTTACCATATTTTGAACAAAATTATATGGAAAATAATTTTAATATCAATAACAAGATTATTTTCTGTTTAATTTTTCTGAGTATAAATTAATTTCCTTTGTCCAGTATTAGTAATAAAATAATAATAATACTGGACAAAGGAAATTAATCATAAATAAGTTTTGTCATTTTTATTTTATTTTTACACTGATTTATATTTCTTCTGTTTTTCATCATCATCTCTCTCCCTTTCTTTAGCTTAGATCTTTGATAGGCTCTACTTCCTAACAATAACAATTGGGACAGTTCATAAACATGTGCAATTGAATTGCAGGATGACCAATTTGCTAATACATGTTTGGATTGAAAGTTATTTAATATTTTAATTTTATAATTTAATTAATGTAAAACATTAATTAAATAGAAAAGATTTCTATATTATAAAGTTTCAAAAATAAAGCAAAAAGATTATATAACAGAATTTTTTTTATGTTATTAAACAGAATTAAACAGAAGTTATTTTTATGTGCAGTAATTATCTTGCTTTCATGTCATCTTTAGTTGCAATTTCATAAATTATTATTATGAATTAAATTTAATAATAATTAATTAAAGCAAAAAAATTAATTATATACGGTAGTTAGTTAATGTTAATATAAGATAGTAGGCTAACAGTCTACCTTTAAAACAAATTTTATATTAATTATTAATAGTTAATCATATTAATTTCCAAATTACTTGGACTATAATGTGGCTATGTATATCTAAAATGATTTTATAACAAAAATTAAATAGAAAAAGCAATATTTTAATGCTTGATATGGCAACTTCTAAACTGCATACCAGTAATTATCTTGCTTTCATGTCCACCCTGAGATGCAGGATGGGTTATGCAAAGGTTTATTTTCATTCTTGCAATTTTCTGCAGAGTATATATTGCTATGGTTTATTCATACAAAATTATGGTACTTACATTGACATAACCAAATATCAAATAAAATACATCAAGAGCTGGCACACAAAAATTATTACAAACAACAGATAGTCATTGAAAAACAGTTACCATAATTGTAGATGAAACAATCCTCATAACCAGGCATCCATATTCATTGACAAACAAACAAAATTACATACATTATAGACAGCTGTACCAAATACTCACAATATACAAAACATGTATACTGAAAAAATTAGTAAATACTCAACTTGTTCATGAAGTAAAGCATCTAAGGAGAACAGATAAGGTAGTTATCATCCAATATTCATTCTTGCACAGACATCAAGCCACATACATAAATATCAAGAAACATTTGGCCTTAACATACACTACATAGGAAATTCTTAAAAAAACATACTGTATTTACATGATGTTCAAGTACGTATTTTGTACCTAAGCCTTGACCTTAGTCTAGCATAGCACTTGGCACCAGTATTAACTGAGTAGGATATGTTACACCAAAATTATAGATCAGGGGTCTCAAACTCAAATGCAGCAAACAGCCAGTCAAATAGATGTATATCAGATGTGGGCCATCATCAATATTATTCAGTAAATCAAAACATACTGTAATTTAAAAAAATACTTTAACAAAGGTTCTTTTGTTGCCAGGCCTTTATGACTTAGATGTTTGAATTGTTTCTGTTTTAATCACTGCAAGATGTTAGAAATATTGATTTTTAGAAAAGAAATAATCAAGGCCATGGGCTGGATATGAAGCTTTAACAGGCCACCAGTTTGCAACCCCTGCTGTAGATGATATTTTCCCAACATTTGTATCACCACAGCATGGATAAATTTTGCAATAAACTTTTAATATAATTATTTGATACTTTTTATTATAAACATTATTTCAATTTGACAAGCATCAAAATAGTCAGTGTCAATAAATATTAAAAAAATCTCTCATTATAAAATTGAAAATTTTTTGATGTCATTTTTGTAAATGCTTGTAATATTTACACAGTGTTAATTATTAAATTTCATGTTTTAATATCTAATGGAAAAATATGTTTTAATATTACAAATACTTATGATATATTTTACATGGAGAGTGTACATCATAAACTTAATTGCTGATACTACCTGTAACTATTAACTAAAATTTAATTATCAGATAATTTTGTCAACATTCATATATTAAATCAATTTACATTGAAACATCTAAAAAATTAACTGAAGTTATTTTCATAGTTGACAGAATAAAAACCAGATTTAGCTGTAAACAATCTTTATTTTTACAATTGTATGAACTGTTTTACAAAAAAATATGAAAGATAATTTTGGTAGTGAAATATTTAGGCACTGGATTAATATGACTTGCTGAACTGTAACTGAAATTATAGAAAACTTTAATATACATAATTAAAATTAAATTATTTAAGTTATAAGTTAAAAAAAACAAATACCTTATTGGAATTTTAATTTAAAAATGGTGTATCTAATGCTCCAAAACCAGCAGCAATTCCCGTTTCATTTGAGTCAACAGTTTTGCTTCGTAAGATATAACCAGCATTAAAATTATGTAGAATTGAATCTTTACTTCTAATATAAATAAAATAATTCAATATTATTTTCATTTGCTTTATTATTTTCTAAATTTAAATATGAGAATAAGAGAAATACCCTAAAATTACTCCAAATATTCCTAATTCACAAATAACCTGACAAGGAATTGCATCTTTATTCCACTGAATGATATAATTTTCTACAGATGGTGAATTGATTAGTTCCATAAGAATATAACCCTCTCTTTCTTTAGATGAATATATTTCTTCTAATACTTTCTTCACATTTTTACCATAAACATTATGACCTGAAAATATAAATTTTTAGTCATTTTCTATTTAAGAATGTAATAACATTTCTGCTATTTTATATTTTTAAATTTTTGTTTTAGATTTTGAAAAGATACTTGCATGAAATTTACTATGTAAAAATTCACAATGAAGCAATGCATAAAAATCCTTGAATTTTATTTTTAAAACCAGCACTTCATTGCTCTAATACAGAAAGCATATGTGCACTTGCCCAATTTGAAAATGTCAGACATATTTCTTTTTTCTTCTGAAGGACCACATGTATGTCATTAAGCTCCTAATCATCCAATATTTGAATTAATCCCCAAATCTTTTAAGTACTGGAAGAAAATTTGTCAAGAGCCGTTATGGAAAATGCCATAGAAAGAACCCATGCTTACAAAGTGAAGAATGGAGGTCATTTACATGAATGACATCATTAGTACATACATACATTATACATTAATCATTTACATACATCAGTGTGTCTGTTGAAATTTGATTTCAAAATTAGTTTTAAAGGTTTTAGAGAACTTATTTTTAAGAAGTGATATTTATACAGATGAAAAAATGTCATAAGTAAAATTACTAGTGTGTGCACGGCATAGCTATCAAATAAAGTTGTCATTCTCATCACAACTTAAATTAGTATATTATTTTTTATCAACTGTCATTTGCATTAAATGACAATTGATTTCATGATTGATGATTTTAATATATTTAAAATTGAAAGCTAATATTCTTTGTAACTAGTGAGAAAGCATACCTTAACAACAGTTTCAACGAAAAACTTTTTTCCGTATGTACAATTTACATGTATAAGAATACTGATTGTTCAACTTCTCTCTCTCTTTTTTATTTTCAATTTCTTTGTCAATGGCTTGGAGTTCAATTTTTGCAATTGAATTTTCTGTTTTTTTTTTTTACTTTGAGTTTTTTCAGCTTCTTAGCAGTTATCTTTCTTTTCTTGTTTTCCTCATTTCAATCTTATTTCATTTCTTTCAAAGCTTCACTTCTCTTGCTCAATGTGCTTTTCATAGCAAGTATCATTTTCTTGTTCACCCAAATTTCATGGATACTGTTCACTGCATGAATTATATCATAAACAATCATTGATAGCTTCTCAGCAATTGTTTATGAAACAATTCATGCAGTAGGCATTATTGTGAGAATACAGGGGCTGTTTTTCTATAAAAGTTTAATAAAAAGATACATCTAGAAACTTTCCCTTTTACTGTCTGTTTCCTGCTAGACTTAACTGTCAACAAATCCTCCCCTCACAATGACCTACAAAATTATCACAATTATGTGAGAAAGTTGACACTTAATTTTTGTTTAAGGAGGAAATTTAAAACAATCAAAGGAAATATGAAACCTTTGAATTGACTATTGTTTAGTTTTCATTGGCCAACTATGACACCTTTGACATGTCATCGCTACCAAACAAATGGTCACCTGATCAGATTCCCACACTAAATACCCTTATAATGCGAGCACACTGATCTTCGCGGGATGCACTGGAATTGTGACTTTTTGTCCCTCTCACCCCCATCCAGATATGGGCCACCCAGAATTTACCTTGACTAGATCCACAATCGTCTTACCAACATTGAATGAACAGGATCCAGAACCATTGAGACTCTTGATTGTAAACTCTCTCTCTCGATCATATAGCATTTGAGTTAGGTCCAGTAGTAATAATTATAAATGCCTATAGTCTAGGTCAATGACCTCTAGCATAGTAACACATGGCTATAATTGTATCTGTTGCTTGTATATTGTATCTTATGCTTTATTTTTCCATTAAACTTGTTGAATTTTAAAATTGTTGCTCTCACTCATGTATCGCTGATGCCCTAACGACTTACTCATCATGCCTCCCCACTCAACTTATAGCCCTCCTAGCCATCCAGTGACAACATGAGTGGATCTCACTGATTTAAAATTTGTAGGACTTTTTTCCCACAAATTAAGAAATGATGAAATATTTACAGGTTTTAAAGTATCCTTTTTTTTTAAAAAGTACTATTATAGAAAATATATATAAGACAGATATCCTGTACATAGTTAAAGTACAGATGGATTTTTTAAAATTATTTTCATATACAAATAATTAACAAAAAAATTTATTCTATTTTTACTTGAAATTTCAGTAAAGTGACTTATAGGCCAAACTATGTAATAAAGAATTAATTACTTTCTTAACATTATTTATGTTAAACGAATAATTATTATATTACAACTTTATTGAAATTATACTCAATCCACTCTAATATAATATGTAAAAATTTTGCCTGCCTGCATACATAAATATAGGGTAGGGGTGCCTATTGTCAACTGCTTCTAGTAGTCGACCATGTAAGTTGAAATCCATGTGTTATTAGTCCATTGGAGCAGGTTTCAAGCCATCTTCACAGGAAACATAAGGCAACCCCTTTCTCCATGAAATGTAAGAATAACAGGTTACCTCACTCATGTGCGCAAACACCCCTTCTGTAGTCAACACATAGTGAGGCATTGTCAGGTCTTTAGAAGATAACAAGGGCTCTGTGTTTCAAATGCATGTTTTCTACAAAATACCTATTATTGAGCTTGCTTAATCTTTCACAGTTGCCACATTTTAAGTACAAGATACCACTGTAGTTAATACATTTACATAGAGCATATAAGTTATATAGAAAGCTTCCAATTTCATTTTGCTCTCATAAATCTAAAAATTGTGAAATGAATGACTGAGATGATTAAGGCATTAGCCTATCTCTCTGGGAACCCAGGATCAAATCTGGTGGAGAACCACCAAGAGTTTTTCATGGGCACTCTGTCATGGAATTGTCAGGTCCTATTCCTCACCACTGGCTCCCTATTGTAGTTCTGATCAAACCCACAATAGGCAAGGTCTTCTTAGTACCCACAGGGCAGAAAGAGTTTAAGAGTTTAAAAAAACGTCTAAAAATTGCAAGCAATTATTTATTGTGACATTAAAACTTGCAGCCCAGTATTGTGACAATCATATTTTTAATTTATTTAATTAAAAATGTATGTTCTTCACCTCAAATTAGTAGTGTCATGGCCCTATACATCATGCTTTACCTATTGGTTAGACAACTGGCAATAGTCATGCCAGTCATCTAACTAACTCCTTTTGGGAAAAAATTTTTGAATTGAAATAACATGACTTCTGGTTTGCAGTAGATGTTCATATATAGTCAATCAGGGCCTCCTACCCCTAAGCTTTCTATATCTAGTCTCAGCTTTCATCTATCTAACTCTGTTCTCAAGATTAAGGAAGGACAGAGAGACAGGCAAATGGACGAACAGACAACAGTGGGAATTATTAGGTCTACAATTTTTTCAAATTGCAGCCTAATAAAGTCCAGTCAGTTATAATGTAAAGAAATACATAAATACAGTTAAAATTATCAAGTATGAAATAATGAAAAGCAATGCTATTTCATTCTTTTCTAAATTTTAATGTATTTACTTTTGCATATCTAGTATAATTAACATCAGTGGCATGCTGTCCTTGGAAGTGGCACTTCCTTCCCTTGTATTTTCTAAAATATAAAGACATATTGCACAATTATTTTCATATTTAACGTACTTTGAATTAATTAAAATTAATATTTTATTATAACCACATTATGTATCTTATTACAAATTTCTATACTACACGTGAAAAAAACAATAAGATTGCTATTATATATTTGAATATCAGCGGTGGAATGGAAGCGCTATATTGTCAAAACCAGGTCAGTTTCCAAGCAGCCAGATTATATGCATTCATGCATGCACTTTACAGAGCACCAACTTTACATGGTTTAGCTGGTGGATGCTACACACCAAAATATCGTATAATGCTCCTAATTTTCTATCCAGGACCGGTTCTGGACCATTAGCCGCCTGCGTGCTAGATATTTGGTCGCCCTTGCCCCATTATGTGAATCGCAGGTAGATTTATAACTTAGCCCAACTGATAGGAGTTTACTGGTATGTTTTTATGATAGTTCTGTATAGTTGACAGGAGTTTAAAAAAATCCATTAAAATATTTGATACATTTATTCTGCTCTCGTATCTTGTATTACTTACAGATTTCAATGTTAAACTAGTGATATTACAATTTAGTATGCCCTATCTATAATGGAATGCAGAAAGAAATGTGCATAATTCTTGTACAATGTTAAAAAATTAACTGTTACTTTGGCAGCATCATTGACAACAAAATTTAATGAATGAGATGCATAAGGTACAAAAAAACTCTATAATTTATTTTCCTTAAATTTACAGTTTATGTATCTGTGTCATAAAAATTTGTCTTTCCACTTTTTTCCCAAGACTACAAATATTCAAATACAAAGTAACTGGTTTCAACTTATTTCTACTTAAGAAGTAGTTAAATAATTAAGAGATTAGGGAATTGGGAACATAAAGAAAATCCTGCTAAAAGAGCCACAATTTTATTTAAATAAAAGCTTAACTGAACCAATCTCTAGCTGAGTAGAGTGGGGACTGATTTCTTCATAATATTAGATGTAATAAAGACAGAAATTTTTCCAGTTCAATGAGTGTGACTGAAAAGTTGTAAATTTTGGAAATTTCTGTGGACACCTGGTCCTAAAACAAATTAGTTAGAAAACAAATGACTATTAAGTTTAACATATTTCAGTCAACAGTACATTTCCTTACAAAGCTATATTTAATTATAATTTTCTTTAAAAGTATATTCATGCAATTGAAGAATATTTTGTACCAGGTATGTACCGGTACATCCAGCACACATTTTATTTCACCAAGTAAGTTTTTATTATTTTATTTTTAATTGTAGCCCTTATATTGTGGCTAGTGATTCGGAATGTAATCATGATATTAAAAATACATTTAGAGAAATCTACAGTTTTTACTGTCTTATCAAACAAATGATACAAATGGACCCTAGACCATCACTGACATGCAATTAACTGATTGCCTCTGGAAATCGGCTTTTTACAGAAACACAGCTTCCCCATCATCAAATGTCATGGCATGCCTCTGGTTAACATATTACTAAATCCATTTTATTCTACATATAAGAAAGTGGACTGATACCAAATGATCAATTGGAAAATTTATAATGCACAAATCTTATCATAAAATTAGTTTAAAATTTTTATTTATATACTTTAAATTATAAAATTTCATAACATACCTCCTCCTTCTCGTTGTGGTTTTAAAACAAATTTTTCTGGAGTTTCCAAAGCCATTTTAATAACTTTATTACCATCTTCATTCTAAAATAAAATAACTTTCTAATCACAAAATGCATAATTATTAAATAAAATTTTAGATTCACACATCATTAAAAAATAATAAATAAATCATTACATTAAATTTGTTATTTATAAAAATTATATAATAATATTTAATATTTATTGAATTTATTTTAATTATCTTATTAAACAGAACTATCATATAATATCCTTTCATCTCTCATAAATATGTAATATATAAAAAGCATACGAGTGTAATAATGGAGAGAGTTGATGAAAGATTAATAGAATAAATTTTAAGGAAATACATAGATTATTACAGAATGATATAAAAATTTTAGAAAAACTTTACATAGAAGAAAACTGTTAATGTCCTAATATAAATGTTTAGAGAAATAAAACTAGCAACTTTTCAGTACTACAGAAGCTGATATACACTGTATACAAAATGATAAAATTTTGTAGGTATATAGTCACTTTCAATAGTTATTCTCAAACTAGTGCTCTAAGATTAACAAGTGCCAAAATACCACTCAGTCAAAGCTTAAATTACCTAACTACAAGCAGATTTACCATGAATTTTTAAAATTTTATCTTAAAATGTACTGCAGTAGAATGAAAAAACACTATTCATATCCAAAGAATAGAAATTAAACAAAAAAATTTGTTAATATTTTTTCTTTTAAACAAAAATTGACTTTCTTTACTTGATAATATTAATTTGAAAGTAAAGAAAATTATACTTTTGGTATTCTAGTTTACCGTATTTACTTGCATATAAGATGAGGTTTTTATTCATTTTTCATGCTTCAAAAACTTAGGTCATCCTATATGCACAAGCGAAAGATTCTTTGCATTTCTGCAATAATTTGTGTGAATTCTGTATTCGCATTTTTTACCGGATGCTTACCTTCTTGTATTTAAAAACATAAGTATTTTATCAGGGTCATTTGAATCATTCTTGTATATTGTCGGGAGTAAAGATGAATAGCAATAGGGAAAGCAAAGCTTTTGAATTGAATTCCAAAAATCACATGGGCACTGGATATAAGTTTTATCCATTCCCACATGAAAATGGATGATTATTCAGAAATTAGAATTCGAAGAAACTCATTGATGGGGAGTAGATTTGACTGTTAAGAATTGGCCAAGGTTCCCGATTGTCCAGCTTTATGTGAAAAAATTATGTTGTCGATTTTACAAGATTTTTCCTTGAAGTTTAAAATGTGAGTATTTTTTTGCAGGACATGTGCATTTATGTGCATTTGATATTTTACTTGTAATTAAACGAAATAAAATTAGAATTATATTAATAAATCTGTGAGATCCGCAGGTTAATTAGATTATTTACTAAAATATTATAACAAAATATTTTATTTCTTTGATAAAAATTTCAACAAAAAAAGGATGTTGAAAAGGGAGGAAACAAACTTCCTTTTTAGACTGATTAAAGTTTAACTCAATGTCCTACAACGATGAGTCAGACACTCAGCCGTCCCTATAAAAAAGGGTAGATTTTCTGCCTTTTTGCACAGTTCGTCTGAAGCAGAACCTGCCATCTGAACTGGCCACATAAGCTTCAATCTCAATAAAAAGATTGCCATACATAACTAAGGACCATCTCCTATAATATTTGAAGGTGCCATATAGACGACAGAAACATGATGTATAAAAAACACATAGAAGATAGATCTCCGACGGCCCAGAAGAGAATAAGCCGTATATAGAAGATTCGACAAAGTAATTCAACTTGCACGTTACTAGAAAGAGTTATTCGACACCTCTGAACTTTCAAAGATCACTCCATAACGTAGTAGAAATATAGTTTTATTGTAAACTCTCTCTCCTCAAGATCTGCGAGATAGATATAGAATAGATTAAAGTAAGGATTTGGATACCTGTTTATATCATTTAGTTGTATCTTGTTTCATTGTTTTATTAAATTCATTGTTATTGTTTATAATATTGGACTCCTTATTGACTCAAGCCTGAGCCTACATCCACTCCACTTACTTATGACCCATCCACTCGAAATTCCTTTAAAAAGGTTACAAGCGTGCCTAATGGTATATCTAGGTTGGTGTCAGGAAAAACAACTTCCAGGGGTTTCTTACGAACTTCTATTCTTTATTCTAAGTCTTAGGAAGCCATCCTTTGATGTTGTGAGCCAATCTAAACGACTGCGTGCTGATTAAGAGACCTAGAGTTTCAAGAGCTATCGGAACATAAACTCTATGCCCCTGGCTCCTCACAAATCCAATTTTCTTTAGTTTGATCTTTACAGTCACACCTTGTCCTATATGGGAGGTCATCTTATATGCAAGTAAATATGGTATTTTAATTTTTTCACATTATTTAAAATCAAATTTGAACATTTTTAAATAGTTTTAGATTTCTTTTATAACTACATGGCTCATTATTCAAATTCTGTATTCTAGATCCTACAAACTAGAGTAGCAAATATCTAAGAATCTGTATGTCCTATAAATGATTTACTATGAGAATGTATACAAAACTTAAGTATTATGCAAAATACTGTACTGTAATAATATACAAATTATAGTTTTGTTTAATGTTAATATAATAAATAAATTAATTTCAAAATAATCAAAACATAAATACTAACCATATCAAGTGCGTACTGATTTGCAAATATTTCTCTAATTTTACTTGCTGATGATAGATTTGGGAGAAATTTTTCCAATATTCCAGGTTTTGTTAGTTCTTGTTGAATCTTTTTTGTACCAGCCAAATGATATCGGATTGATGGACATTTAATAGCTTTAGATTTTTCTATTAAGAGTCTGATTTCCCAATCCTGTTAAGATTTTGAAATTTTATATAAATTAAAATTTTCATATCATGTAATGTTAAACAACAATTATTTTAATTTAAAATCAGATATTTGATAATGTATATATTTAGATTTTCTTGCTTTTAATTCATTACACAACTGATAGAATACATTGAAAATTTATTTTAAAATAAAATTAATAATAATAATAATGATAATTTCAGATTCTGTTTTAATTTAATGGCAATATTCATACATAAATTAACATAAAAAATAGTATAGATATTTTTCATGCAGGTAATTTTAAGACTAACCTTTGCATTATATTGTGATGGATCATAACCTGTGCGATAATATACAACTGCAACTTCAAAATCTTGACTAAAAGAAAACAAAATTTAAAATATTTTCCATATTTTGAAAGAACAATCAGTGAAATTAGTAAATTTAATAATTTCCCATTATATCAAAATATCAAAAGCTATAATTATGAAGTTTTAATAACTGAACAGTGTTTTTTTCTGTTTTTATGAATGACGGTAGTCTGAATTTTAAAAATATTTAAAGTATTTAGATTCAATTTCTATTGCTTAATATATCAGAAATTGTACTATAAAAGGATTTGTAGATTTTCTGTTCCAAAAGCTACAAATTATATAAATATGTGAAAATTTCAAGTCTATAGTCAAACATTGATTTAGCATCACAATTTTTCATCTCTGAAATTGGCACTAAACTGAAGTATCTCAACTATTAAATATTATATATAGTAATAAAGTTTACATAAAACTTTGAATTTGATTTGACTTAGTGATGTGTTTGTAATGCAAAATCATATATTTAGTAATTCACAAAAAAACTATATTAGTGCAAAGGAAAATAAGTAATTATTTCTTTCAATAGAGAAAAAATATTGCTTTATAATAATCATTTGTAATTTTTATTTTATTATCCTGACTCAATGCATTCATATAAACTGTGAGTATAGAACTCTAAATTTTTCAGTTTTTCAATAATAGACTATTCCTATTATATTCAACATGTTCTATTTGAAACCATAAGCAGATATGTAAAACTCCAAATGATTATATAAAATAGAAGATTTTTGTTTAGTCCAATTTTCAAATTCTATTTTTTTGAAAATTACATTTTCACAGTTAGCCACTTATGGTTCTATACACACAAAACTTTTTCTAGCATATACAATTCACTGTTCAGTTATCTGAATCACATCTGATCCCAATTAGTTCACAAAGTTAGTGTTCTACTGTATAACAGTTATCAATATTTATAGTTTATTTAATTTTGATTAAAATACTCATTAATTTCTTGACTTCTTAAATATTGTAGCAATACATGTATTAATAAAAAGAAATTTAATAATTCTTGATTAATCATTATTCTTGCTAACTGAATCATTAGAAAATTTTTCCTGAAATGTTTAAAAAGTTATTTAAAATCTTATTTTGATAGATTTCAAATATATTGAAAAATCATTGCTTCTATATTTTAATTAAATACTTTGGATATATAAAGTTTATAGGTTACAAGAATAAATATAAAGTTTAAAGTTAGAATCAACTAACTGATCTGCTCTGATAATAAAACATTAGCATGTAATCTAATAAAAAAATTTTGGATTATTTATGTACAATTCAAGAATTTATATTTGTATAAATTACTCACACAAATAACTTCCCATTCTTAATACTGACTGTATTGTATAGTTCCGAAAATTTACGTCTTAGCACCACAACTTTATGGCTATATTTTTCAGAAATACAAAATTCTAAAGCCCTCTGATCACAAATATTATATGTTATTTCTTCAACAATAAACAGCAAAACAGCACTGAAAAAAAAAATAGTATCATGTTAAATTTAAAAAAATAAAACATTAAAATATGGTCATTAGTTTTTATTTCAATATGGGAATATTTCTGTACTTTTTGATACAATGTCAGCAACATTCTAAAGCAGGGATGTCAAACCAAATAAATAATGGGTCAAATTCAAGATTAAGCCTGATTTCTCACTCCAAAGTGGAAAAAATAAGTTTTTCCATATTTTTTAATCTTTAATTATAACTTCATTAAGCTCCTGACAATGCTTTAATTATTAAATTAAATAAAATTAAATTATAAATAAAATTTCTATGTATATTAATGAGACACTTATTAATTTTTTTGTGAAAAAATTATTGTTGGAATTATGACTGTCATAAAATAGCATATTTGCCAACTTTAGTGTATACAGCACTTAGTGTATACAGTGATGGTCAACTTTTCATGTAGCTAGCTCTTCAGATATACAATACCTTATTGCACTATAATGTTTTCATTGTCTCCATTAACTCATATTAACAGTTAGGTAAAATTTTCAATATAATACACTAGTCAGATCTTCATCTCTTAACTGATCCATTGGTTTATTTTTTGTCGTGGAAAAAACTATTCACAAGTAATATATGTGTTGTCAAATAGAATCACTTTTTGAAAAGGATCAGATTTGTAAGGTCAGAATAATTAACTTTAATATATATATATATTTTAAAGCATTAAAAAATCATTTGCAATGTAAGTTATTTTCAGAGAACTATTATATTGAAAACTTATTAGTTGTAATTGGAATCTTTAGTCATTCCAAAATATTGAGGAAAGATTTTCATTAGTAGTTCATTTTAAATTTCCTAGTGAAAGTGAATATTTTTCAATATTTATTATTGTCTTTTCCCCTGTTTAATAAAAATGTTGTTGATTTCAAAACATTATTAACCAAATGATTTTTATCAGAATCAACTTTTTAATAAATACAATAGAAGCTTATTAATCCAGTACCCAGTAATTTACAATGTCCAGTAATCTGGCTCCTTCTGAAAAGTAGTCTATAATCCAGAAGTGTCCAGAATGCTAGATTTTATGAATCAGAATTTGTTTGAACATGTGGTGTGCTTAAGACCTCTGTCAGAAATATAGTATGACTGGATAATCCTTATTATTTGCACATAAATCATTGTAAATGTTTATTCTGTACAATAATGAGTTCATTAACATTTTTGTTAATATTGATTGAAAAATCTGCAAAGTCTGCAAATGCATGCATTGTATCATCTACACATTGATTAAAGAGCATGCTTAAACAAATCAGAAGCACACAGCATCAAGAACTGATATAAAATGTATAGCAATGTCTGCAATGTTCAGATAACTTATCAAATTTTGCAAAACTAAAAATGCTTGGTAATCTGGCATTACTTAGGTTCCATACGTGCCAGACTAACAAACTTCTACTCTGAATATTTTCAAATTATTTATTAACAAACTAGTCTTTATAATCAAGCTTCAAATTTAAGTCAACAAGATATCTTGTCAATATCTACAAGTCATAAATCCATTTGGATTCCTCTAAATAAGTAACATCCTTTTTCTTGATTTCTATGACTCTTTTTATTTATCCTAAAAGTAATTAGAATAATTCTAATGTCATTGCTATGCTGAGCCATAAAATCTGACTATAATAAATTATATCACTGTATTTTAAAAGATAGTTTTCAAATTGTCTCTAGTTGAGATTATAAATTTCATAAGATCAAAATACCTCAACAGCTTTTTTCCCCATTTTGGGTTTATTTTAATATTTTTGAATGCAGTTGTATTTGGTTAATTACAGAATGATGCTTTCACATAAAATTTCCCTTTCATTAATAAAACATTTTATATATTCATATATTTTATCAATAATATATATTATATTATACTACCATGCATATGCAGCTAGAACTATTTCTAAGATTATCAGCACAAAACCTTTCTCACTAATTTCTAGCCTTATTAACTGGTTTTCGGCCTTCTTAATAGGCCTTCCTCGGGTACACTGTGGACCATCGGTTAGAAGAAGTTTAAATGCTGCCAATGTCTATCCAGGTATCGTCTTACCAGTGACGTCATCGTCGATGATAGGTATACGATACCGAGGGCGAAAAATACATACTTTTGGTAAAGAAGGGAGGTGTGCAGATAGAATACTTGCTAAAGTTGGGGAAAAAGATTTTAGAGTAAGCGCGCTACGTACAGGAGATGCACAATCACAACAGGGGGTTAGTGGGGAGTGACGTCATAGTTGAGGCCGTAAATACTCAACGCTACAGTAAGAAGAGGCGTGCGAACGACCGTGGAT